GGCTGTGTCTGAGCTGTGTGTGTGTGTTTGTGCTGTGCCCAGGCTGTGTCTGAGCTGTGTGTGTGTCTGAGCTGTGCCCAGGCTGTGTCCGAGCTGTGCCCGGGCTGTCCCTGAGCTGTGTGTGTGTCTGAGCTGTGCCCAGACTGTGTCTGAGCTGTGCCCAGGCTGTGTCTGAGCTGTGCCCAAGTGTCCAGCCCTGCTGGCTGCAGGGCAGGAGCCTTGCTCTGTGTGCTTGCTACCAGCTGGCTCTGAGAGGCATCCAGGGCCAGCCCTGTGGCAGGGACTGCAGGGCATGAAACCTCAGGGCAGAGACTCGAGCAGCCATCATTCCCTGTTCTGTGGGGCAGTGAGGAGACCCTGCAGCCTTGGCCCCTGTGCTGCGAATCTGATCACGTCACACTTGCAGCAGGGGGTTGGAAATTGTGAAGCTGCCTGCTTAAAGTGCCACTCAAAGCACTACATCACCAATGTTGGATGCATTTCTGAGGTCCTGGACAAGGCTTTAGCCTTGGGCAAGACCTTGAATGAGTTTCCTGGTCAAGCTCTCAAATCAAGGGTTTTCTGGGCTTGTTTATATTAAAATAAAAAAATGTTTAAAAAAATAGAGTGCCATGGTTGACTCAGCCAGTCCTTTAAAATGAAACTGTGATGCCACACAACAATCTGACAGGGTGGGGGGAAGGAAAAGTGGCATCTGCAATAGCAGGAGCAATGTAAAAGGAGTAGAAGTCCCAGACAAAGGGCTCACTGGGAAAAAGGAAACAGTTTCATGGGAAGGACCTTCAGCCACAGTTGCTCAGCTGATGCGCCAAATGCAGGCAGGCTTTGTTTGGAGCATGTCTGACAGACCAATGCAGAGAAGAGCATGTTTGTTGAGGTGTTTCCACTGTCCACTGCTGCAGCCTTTTTTCCTGGCAGCAGGAGGGTGCCAGGGGTCTGATCACATCCTGCTGTGGACCAAGGGCTTTGGGAGCCTGGGAGTTGCCCTGTGGCTTCCGTGTCCAGGCAGAGTTGAGGAGGCAGCAGGTCACTGCTGTGATGTGCTCTCTGTGCCCACGCTGGCTGTGGCACAAACCTCCTGGCCCCAGTTGTCTCCCCAGAACCACTCGGAGCCCATGTGGCTCCAGCCTTGCTTAGGGACCCCGGTGTTCCTTAAGCCTTCCTACCCATTGTGGCTCTGACATGCCGAGACCTCTAGCACATGAGAGCTGAATTTAAGCTCCCCTGAGTCTTTGTGGTGTGATTTTACATGAAATTGTGTATTTCTCACACAAATGCTGCAATTACAAAACTCAGCTCCCAGACAGCTGATTTTTTTAAAATTTAATTTTTGGGGGGCACATCAAAAAGGAAAACAGAGCAGAATATTTACTCCCTCCAAACCACAAAATTCCAGTGAAGATATTCCCAGACACCAATCTGCTGAAAAACCCAACTGTTCTCCAGTCTGAGGGATGGAGCTGGCTTTCAGAAAGGAATTTCTTCCTGATTGAGAAGAATCAAGATAGGTGTCCCTAAATGTACAGTACCACTCTTTTGGGGTGTTTTGCATGACAAAGGACTAAAAACAAGAACTAACAATCTGCCATCTCCATACATCAACCTTCTGCTGTGAACCTCTGTCATGGTGTAACCCCAGCTGACAACTAAACACCACATAGCCACTCAGTCACACACCACTCTCCAAGGCAGATGGGGGAAAAAACCCTTTTGATTTGAGGTAAAAGCAGTTTAATAATTGAGATAAAGTAATATGTAAAACTAAATAATGATAATTGTAATGAAAAAAAAATATAAACCTCAAGTGGAACAAGTGATGCCCAGTGTAGGTGCTCAGCACCCACTGATCTGTGCCCAGCCTGCCTCCCAGAAGCCATCAGCCCCTCACCAGCAGTTCCCCCAGTTTACACACTGGGCAGGATGTTTTATGGTGTGGAATATCCCTCTGGTCAGTTCAGGTCAGCTGTCCTGGCTGTGTTCCCTCCCCAACTTTTGTGCAGCTCCTTGCTGGCAGAGCATGAGACACTGAAAATGTAGGGTAAACACCACATGATTGATGATTTGGTTGTTGCTATCAATATTATTCTCACCCTACATCCCAAACCCAGCACTGTGCCAGCCACCGAGAGGAAAGTTAACTCTATCCCAAGCAAAACCAGGACAGTCTCAGAGGCTACTGCCCATGGAGAGTAGGAAGTGCCTCACAGGGAGCAGAGATCTCTGAGTTTCCCCAGTCTTGGTGCTATGAAACCCACTGGGCTTGACCCAGTGCTGCAGCTCTGCAGCTTCTGGAGTACAGCAGGAGACCAATACTGCTGCCTGTGCCCAGACACCACCACAACGATGACAACAGAGGTGGCATTAAAGGTCCAACCAGAAAAGTGTTTGGAGATGAAATCTAGGGTGGACCCAGGTAATGTCCCCCTTCACCTACATCCACCTTCTATCCTAAGGACAGGATTTAGCAGGATCCTGTGAGGTGAGACCTTGGTGGGGCAAGGTCAGAGAATGGACATTCTGTGGGAATTGCCTGTCCTATGGATTTCAGACACAGCTCAGCATTGTGCTTTCCTTCCTGGGCTGCCCCTACTGCTGCCCTTGCACTGATACCAGTGCTCTGCTGCAAGAAATGTGCTTGGTGCACATCAAGCAAGGACAGTCTCTGGATGTGTGGGGAAGATAAGTGTTATCATGAGTATCCAGCTGTGTTTGGGTTTTTTTAACTTACTTGAAAAAAGCCAGAGGCACTACTCCAGCACCCTTGGAGGAACTGGACCCTGCTATATTTTCCATGGCTATGTATTTTCCATACAGAGCAGTTCTGCAGTGCCCTGGCTCAGTGATGGTCCCTGCCATGGGACCACGGGCACCAAGCTCCTCCCTGCACCCAGTCTCTGTGCTCCCTGTTGTCCCTGCAGTCCCAGCTGAGGGGTGGGGGGATGTAGGAGTCTCTATTGTGGCCTCTACTTCCATGACCTGCTAGTCCTCCCCTTGGTGGCCAGAGGATCCACATGAGGAGAAGCCAGCAGGATGCAGGACCCTCCCAGTTCCTAGCACCAAGACCCAAGGTGATGGCATTCATCTTTCCAGTCTCTCCCCTGCCCCACCCATGTTCCCTCCCTGTCAGGGGCACAGTTTGAGCCATGAGTCCATCCCCACCCAGAGCCATGGCCGCAGCCTCTCCCCAGCACACGAGGCCAGGCAGAAAGCAAAGATTGGGGCTTCACTCTCAGCATCAGCAAAAGTCACCTGCTTGTCTGTAAAGTCCAAGCAGACTTGGATGGCCCTGGGGAGGCAGGTAAGGTGCAGTGGGGTCCAGTCAGGATCACTGAAAGCATGGTACTGTCCAAACCACTGCCCCACAGACCAGATCCCTTCCTGGGGCGTAAAACTGAGGACCCCCTTCCTCCTGACAGACTCCTGGGCCACTCCCACTGCCCACCAGTCTCCTGCCCTGGCCACCTCCACCTCCCAGCAGTGTCTCCCCTCAGCAAAGCCCTGGGTGCCCAGCACACACGGCTCCGTGTCAAAGCGCTCGGGGTTGTTGGGCAGCAAGGTCCACTCGTCGCCGCGTCCTACCCCTCGCTGGTCACTGGCCAGAATGAGAAAGGGGTTGGCGGTGTCTGGGTCCAGAGTCACGTCAGCTGGGGACAGAGGAAGAAAAGTTTCTCAGAAGAGGCAGTCCTGGGGCTGCATCCACCCCAGCAAGAGAAGGGACAGGGTGAATTCCTTTTCCCTGCAGTGGGAAACCCCCCCTAGCTGGACTGTCCCTGGCTCCCTGCTGCCCCAACCCTGCCCCCACCCCAGGGGCCTGCACACATCCTGGACAAGGGGCCCTCAGTTTCCTGGAGGAGGAGGTGGCACCTGAGTGGGTGGGTGCACACCTGCAGTGCACCTGAGCCTGGACCTGAGCCTGGGTGTCTCTGGTGCTGCAAGAGGAGAACAGGCAGGTCAGGGCACAAACCAGGGCCAACCACAGTAGAGGTCACCCCAAGACCCATAACCCATGGCCTCAAATTCACAACTCTTTCTCTAAGCAGTGCAGGGGACAAAGGATGTCAGTTCAGGAGCCTTTGGTGCTGGAGCTGGGTCTACAGATGAGCACCAAGAGTTCAGCTGGGAGTGTTGCAGCCACCAAGTCCCACCACATGAAAAGCCTAGTCTGGAGGCAAGCCCCAGTGCTTTGACCTTCAATAGCTGTCCCACAGCAGAAACAGGATGCATTTTTTCCTCAATAGAGGACAGTTACCCCTCCTCTTCCCCTCTGAAAACTCACCTCTTCCACTCATCTCTGCCACCTCATGAATCAGGGTCTCACTTTCTACTGTCTCCATCCTGGATGTCAGCATATCAACAGGAAGGGATACAAGATTCACTGCTGAAAGTGGGAATTACAAGACTCAAGGACTGCCTGAAGATGATAATGCAGAGAAGGAGTAAAGGAAAGGTCACAGCATTCAGCACTTTTTAGACAGCCAGTACTTACCTGCACAGCCAGCAGGCTGGCTCCAGGAAAGCAGGTTTGAGATGGGTTGGAAGGTCTTTAGTCTGCTTCCCACTCCTATGATCCCCTCATCTGCTCATGGCTGGAATGAGCTTGCCCAGCACTTCTAGCTTGTTTGAGTGAGCAGGGCACAGTCCAGAGGGGTTGGATGGCCTGGACAGCAGACCTGGAAGTCTGTCTGGGTACCACTCCACCAAACTTCCCCCTCTCCTCCTCTGGGCAATGACCTCCCATGCCCTGAAGCTGCCAGCCCATGCGGGACCTCATCTAAAACTTGAATTTGGCAATTCCTCCTGTTCCTGCAGTGCCCAGTGCTGTTTACATCACAGGGTCTGCTGCATCTCCCCTCCCTCAGCCCAGCTGTAGGTGGGTGATAAGAGCCCCTGAGTGCTGGAGGAGTCTGTATCTCCCTGTGCAGGATGCCCAGAGCCTTCCTGGGCACCACAGACACCTCCAGCCCCTTGGGATGGCACCTGGGGACACCAGCAGCAGAGCACTGGCCATTCTCTGGGTGTCCAGGCTGCATTTTGGGAAAAGGGGGTCTGGCTCCTGCCCTGGCTGTTTGCCCAGTTCTGTACTGCTGTGTAGGTTCATGGTGGAGATGTTTGCAGAGCATGTGCCACCTCAATTCCACAACTGGTAAATGGGGAACAGCATGTGCTGGGCTCCACATCCCTCCTCTTTCTTCTTCAGGCAGCTCTTCCTGTGTCAAGGGAGGATGGCCTTATTCCCAGTCACAGGGAACACAAGGCATTCCACTCTGCTTTGTCACATCACTCTGGAAGGCACCAGCTGAGCACAAGTAAAGCAGGATGCAAGGGCAGCTGCTGCCAGGTGGCTTTGCAGACAGCTGCGTGAACCTCTGCCTGCCTGAACCCCTCCCTGGAGCTGGGCTGCCTTAGCCAAGCTCACTGACCGGTTCCACTTTACCCACGACCAGTTCCTTTTGCACTCTTTTGGCATGTCTGACACCTTGTCCTCCCCAAATCCTTTCTACATGGCTTTAGTGCTCACATCCTTCCTTTGGCACATGCTGGGACATGCAGCTTTGATCCCCAGCTTTGCACACCTGTTCAGGCTGGATTTCCCTGGAGTGATGCCCATGGAATTGTGATTTCATCATTAAATTATGAGGTTCGGTTATTACACTTTCTTTGCTGTCATTTGTTGTTGTTGGGGGTTAGGATTTTTCCTTTTGTTTCTTTCTCTCAGTGAACTTTCTCTCATTTATTACTAAGAGACAATAGCGACTGACACTTAAGAGAACGAGATATAGCTAAGGAGAAAAGGGAGGAGTGGAGCTGGCTGCACTATGGCAGCTGAGGGGCATTCTCTTGGCAAGGGCAGATACCGGCAGACCTGGGCTGGCAGGAGGGGCTCCAGCTCTCTCTCGCTCTGGACATCAGAGGGGAGACGGGCTGCGCTCACTGCGGGGAGAATTCGCACCTGTGCGGGATCCGCCTCCTCCTGCCGTGAGTGAAACTCCGCTCGTGACAGCGGCCGTGTCTCTGGGACCTTACTGACACCTGCCTCAGCAGAAAGGACCCTCTCCGTCTACTCGGGTGCCTCAGGGGAACCCCCGCGATCCCCAGGCCCCCTCCCCCTCCCAGTGGAGTTCGGGAGCCGAGCGGCCACCGCCCGGCCCCGCCGCTTCTCCGCCACGGCTCCGGGCTTCTCACTGCCCCGGAACTCAGCGCCCCTGCCTGCCGGGACACCCCTCGGCTCCTGCTACAGCTGCGGAGTTCCTGTTACATTCTGTTTGCTACTCCGGAGTCTGCTCGTCCCTGCGGCTCCAGACACCGCTCGAGGTTCCTGCTGCGGCCCACTCGCGCCATCCAGCCCGCCGCCATTGCCGTGGGGCGAGGCGGCTGAGCCCGCGCCACAGCGCCCCCTGCAGCCGCGGGGGAATCATCGCACCTGCCCGGCCCGGCCGGGAGCCACCGGCGCCCCTGCCGGCTGTGCCCGGAACTGCGCCAAAGGGGAGAGTGCGGGCGGCCGGGAGAGGCAGGGCCGGGGCTGGGCTCCGGGCTGGGTCTGGGCTCCGGGCCGGGGCTGGGCTCCGGGCCGGGTCTGGGCTCCGGGCCGGGGCTGGGCTCCGGGCCGGGGCCGGGGCTGGGCCGGGGCCGGGG